CCTAAATAAATCAGGATTATGTACACTGGTGTACAGAAAATCCAGAAATATAAGAAAGAGCAAATGAACCAGATACCTGGTTGCAGGGTCTAAACTAGAAGCTAAAGGCTGAAGCCTGACCATTCAAACTGAAAAGAAGAAACTTCAGAGAGACCCAATACACTAAGGATACAATAACCCACTGGTAAAAGGGATGGAGGTATACTACTAAATTGAAGGATTATAGATACAAGATCTGAGGTTCACACAGGAGACAGACTGTGAAAGTATACGATAAACTACAGCTTTAGTAGCTGAATACTACAGTAGGATACCATTGTCTCATCAAAAGATCCCCTGTGCTGATCCAGGTGGCCAGAGCAAGAACCAGGAAGTCTATGTTGAACCGGAGAATCCACAAAAAGGTAGGGACCATTGTCAATGAATTCCCTATTAAAAGGGAAAATGCTTCATTGCGTTGTCAGGAGGAAGCAATTAGAGAATGAGATGTTGTCAGTACCAAAGAAGGAACTGTTCCAGAACAGGGAGTATAGAAAGGGTCTTTGTGTTACCACGAGCTGGAAAAGACCCTTTAATTGGTACAGAAGGTTGATCCCCTTGATGAATAGCAAAGTACACTGGATGAATAAGCTTGGAAACAACGGTGTGCATATCAGCATTATCAAGAATCTGGTCAAATACAGTCTCTTCATGAGTAGGCTGTGAAGGTTTTCGAATCTGACTCAGAGATAATAATAGGGGCCTCAGACACTCAGAGCCAGTAGAGTCAGAATTAGGTTCTGCTACAGATGGTGCTGAGATGCAAATCGATTGTCTGAGCAGATTGTTCCAATAATTTAATGCAGACAGACAAAGTCCGAAGTGGCACAGCTATAGAAGCTGCTGTTGAGGACAAATCTATGGAAAAAGGGATCCCAGAATCTAAAATACAGGCATCGGTTCCCTTTAGAATACCCATGAATTGCTCCCCGAAAAAGTAGGGGAGTATGTAGCGAGGTCACCCACTGTAGCAGGACTATCCTCGGTGCATTCTTTAACAGAAAGGTTGCGCCAATAACCCTAAGCAACTACACCCATAAAAAAAGGCAAGGCCCAGTGCACTTATAAAGCAAGGCAGCAGGTGGTAATCAAGTTACTGAAGGTGGGCAGTGGAGCAAAACCAGAAATCAGATGATCCACAATGCACAAGAAGCAGTAGTAACAGTGGGTAGAAATCCCTTTCAAAAAGTGGTCACGTGCAACACTGTTCCTAGTGGATGATATCTGCACTAAGTTTCCTCATGTTGAAAAGTTCAACATAAGAAAGACTAGATCACACCAACAGGCAGTGACACAGCTCTACAACTGGAAAATACTCCACAAGATAATAATACAGTGCACAAGTGACAAACAGGCAGAATCCAGTGTGAAAGGGTTACATAGCAAGAAAAGCTAACTGCAAACAGACTTACTCATAGAGACAAAGCCTACAGAGACAAGGCCACACAAAGGGCTCTGCCACGGCTCTGAAATTGGTGTGTTGCGTGGCTAACTGACACAGTACACAAAGGTATTGAAGGGTCACATAATAGGCTCATATTACACTATTTAGACGTTCATACATAAGAAAGGTGCACAGACACTGGACAATTGCACTGCTCTGGACTTGGGGTGCGCTCCGCTGTAAACTATCACTGTACACAAAGTGTAGAGAGCACCACAACACAGAGCTAAGTGCTCAAAGGACACATACTGGAATATTATTAGTACATTCTGGGGCTTTCTTACACTGGGAGACATCAGAGACTGGGTACACCAAAGGCTCCAAAACTGGGGAGCGATCTGTGGTTAATTGACACAGTACATATGGGTCTGGAGAGTGCCACAGTGCAAAACGCATTTTCCGAAGATCACATTCCAAAAGTTCTTCACTCCGTCCATGGGCCTAATCACAGAGTGAGTCTTTAGAGACTGGGTCACACCAGAAGCTGGAGGCAGAAGAGCCCAGCTCCTAATGGCCGAATTCCAGGAAGGCTTCACAATCTTCAGTCCAGCAGGGTCTGGGTATGGCCTACAAGGCAATCCCAAGGATAAGCCGATCTGTATGGCTGCTGTGTAGAAAGAAAACACATCTGCAGAGAACCAAGTATGTTGATGAAAGAAACGTTAAAAAAATATATACTTAGAGTTTTCCTTAGCATCCAACCTCCTAGGACACTTGGAAGAACTGAACCAAGACAGTTGGGGGAAAGGTTTTGCATAGGCTGGCCTTCAATGTGTTATTTACTGTTTACCAGTGCTCCTGTACGCAGCTGCATATTACCCATTGGTTTAAGATTATCCATTATTCCTTTGTCCTTCTCTGGACAATAAAGAAAAGTAAATACAGCCCATGGAAATTGTTGACCTGAATAACTTATTGAACAGGCAAACATTAGATCTTGATTCAAATAGTGCCTACAGATAATGGTAATATACTTGAACAAATGACAGAATTTATTAATTTTCATGATCCAAATGAATGAAAATGAAAATTTGGTCATATAAAAAAGGGAAGTACACCCCTACATTTCCCACCACTTTAACCTCCCTGGCGGTATTATTATGTCAGGAATTTTGTACCAAAAGCGGTACAATTTTTTGCATGGAAATTTGGTGTTATGTATTGTAGGCCTGCAATTCTTAGTAATTACTTACTTAAACCCATAAAATGAATTCAGTTTTCCACATTAAGTGCCAATGATTAGAACCTCCATAGAGAGTATGCAGGTAGAACCTGTCTTATTTAAACCTTCGGTGTATATGGTCTGGTGGTTTTGGCTTTATGACACCACACACTTCAATACCAAAGATCAACAGAGCTCTCTAATGCCCACAGAAAGAAGGTTGTGGATGTCAGGCAAGAGTTTTGAAAAGATTTCCAAATGATTTGAAATAAAAAAAAATCCACTGTAAGGAGCAGAATCTACAAGTACGTTGATTTAAAACAACTGCTAATTTGTCCAGGACTAGCCAGCCCAGCAAAATCAATCGAAAAGCTGACTGTGATGCTAAATGAAATCTCCAAAAACTAAAAATTTCATTGTGAGGCGTTCAGGTAATTGTTGTAACAGCTGGGGTCAAAGTGCATGCATCTACAAACAGAAAGAGATTGGACCTTTTAACCTGCATGAAAAGTGTTTTGTTTTTTTTTGCTCATTACAACTTTTGTTTCTGTTTTGTTTTTTAAATTATTCAGTTTTTATGGGTTTTTGCACAATAGGAACGTAACAGTACATACTTAGGTACAGAGAGTTCAACCAATCAGCAAAGATTTGTGGAACCGCATAGTACGTTTACACTTTGTTAGCACATTGGAAGTCAAGTCTATACACTCCACGCCAGTACGCACAGAAAGACCATAGGAAAGATAGATAGAAGAGAAAGAGAAGAAAGATGGAAAGAAAGAAAGAGAGTGGGGGAGGGACAAGTAGAAGTTTGAGGACGGGGGAAGGGGCATAGGACACAACATGGGCCTCCAGCATCACCTCTCGCATTTAGATGTTACTCTAATAAATGTGAAATTGACATGAGTAAAATTACACACATTGACATTTGTGGGTTGGCTCCATGTATGAGCGTCACTGGCACAAACAAGCACAAAAACATATACACATCCCGTGGTAAGTATCAAACCCGTAAAAGAACCATAAGATATGTGGGAGATTGTTTAAAAGTAACCCAGGGTTGCCATACAGAGTCATATGTGGCTTGTCGATCAATTTTGGCGGATGTCAGTTCCTCCATCAATCTGTAATATTCAATTCTATGGAACCAGTCTTTCAAGGACGGGACAGTGGGTTAGTTCAAGTGTAGGGGAATTAATGTTTTGGTAGTGTTAAGAAGATGTGGAATCAGCGATCGTTTGTAAACTTACAGCGGGAGCTCGGTGGCATGCAGGAGGCATACCTGCATTCAACTTTGGTTAGTCATACTTGTTCATTTTACACCATAATTATTACATGTTATGCTGTGCCTTAGGCATTGTTTACTGTAGATCTTTTATATGTCCAGTTTGTTTTACCTGCTGGTATTGTTACAACACAAAGAGTAAAACAAAGATTTAACTATACCTTTGGTTGTTCATTAGGAAGTGGTTTATCCACCAAAATAACCCTTCATATACTCAGAATGTACATACACAACGGGCATGATTCAAGGAAATGAACAAGAGCAGGGATAGATTTATATGGTTCGCTTGTAGTGAAGGCTCACGTGAGCACATGGATATGTGCACATATGTTGAATGTGCTCCATGAAGCTGTCTTTCAAATCATACACTGCTATTCAACATGTGTGGGGCATTCTTGGCCTGCATTGCACATTTGAATATTGCTGCTGTTGATGTTATTATTTCAATGAGGTGCATTAAGGCATGCACTTTTACCTCGGAAAGAAATAAAATGTGACAAGCTTGCTCTGCAATAAATTACACATATACCAAGCAAAGCCACAGCTGAAAAATTGTAGTCTATCCTGTTGGAGCAATAAAAGTAGGTATGGTGTATCTCATTGTAACCTGCACTGTATAAAACAATGTATGGCTCTTGCCGTAGCTACAGCTGGTATATCTGAGCATGCACACTGATACAACTAGGACAGTGTGCACTATGGCATTTCTTTGCTTTCTTTTCTACCTCGAGATTTTGCATGCTTTTAAAGGGAGCCATGTTTGAGAAAAGGTAATCTATTCTATGTAGCAGATTTTTACAAACAGAAGATAGCTCTGTTAGGTAGTTATGTCCCTCTTCCTTTTTGCTCTCCTTAGAGTTTAGTGGCTCTGTTATAATCAAGCAGTTAATGTGGCACTTGTGCAGATCTTCTGCTATGAATAGGCTCCAAGAGACACATCAAGCACATCAGCAAGTTAAGCAATGTCACAAGTAAAAAGCAGATCTATGTGTAGCTGAATGAGGGATATCTCTTGTGCCAGCTCTGTGTCTTCAGGGCTGTGCTGCCAAGTAAGAGAGGGACTGGCTTACCTTGAGAGTTAGCTTGCAAGACCCCTATGCTGTCATCAAACTGCATGGATTTGATGTTGAGAGATGCTAAGATACATTCCTTGTCCTGAAGTGAAGTATCATCAATATTGTTCTGATTGGCTGACAGGATAACGCACATGTCACACAGGTTAATGTTGACAGCCCTTAGATCAGCTCGGCTTAATGGCGTGCCCTAAAGGAAAGATAAAACAAGCTGGATAAAGGAATGAAGGAATCACTGGATCATATTAACAGGGAAGTTAGTTAAATAAAGAATATCTATCTTAGCTCAAAAATATATTCTGTACTATTGCTACAGTGGATGTTCTAATAAACTCAAAAGTAGAGCAGGACTATATTGAATTGAGCACCAGAAAACTATTCATCGCGACAATGTCACCTTGCTTCAGATGTATGTGTGACCATACAAGGGTGGACCAGGGTAGTCTGCAGGGCGTTTGCTGCAGCCAGCTGACTGCACCCTTCTTTTAGATATGTACTCTCACTGTGACATTGAAATACTGAGGAATAAGCAGTTTGCATGATTTTAGGCATTCGATTCTAACAGGGAAAATATTAGCACAAATTTAAGACATAGAATAAAATCTGCACATAGCTAAACCCTGGACTCAAGTTAATTTAATAAAGCTTATATTTAACTAAAGTTTGATACCAGGTTATAACTAGACCATTAATCCTCATTTTTAAGGACTCCTTAATGACTGGTAGGATCCCCGGTGATTGGCGGAGGGCTACGGTAGTCCAGCTTAACACATTCCATTTATGCCATGAGCTATATCACATTCAAATGAATAGAAATACTAAAACGTGTAAGAACACAGACCTGTATGGATCATTTGAAAGTCTGTGATCAACAAAAAAACAATACAATTTTAAAATTGTATGTACAGCCAAAACTTTTTTTTGTAGAATAGGGAAAGACTAGAAGCCATGTCAGATTTTTATTTCTATATATGTTGCCATTGCAGATTTTCCTTCTCTTCCTGCCTTGTGAAAACATTGTCAGTAAATGAGGGTAAATCTCATCCCACTATTTAAATAACAAACGGGAAAAAAAATAGCTGGACTTACACTTTTAAAAGATGATCATTTAACATGAAGACTATTTTCATCCAGCTGTGGTTTAGTACCCTTATGTTACCTCCATAGAATGTTCTGATACTTACAGGCAGGATGGAAACCTTTGGGAAATTGTGCAGTGTCTCCCATTCTCTCTTTAGGTATTCCAAGGATCCAACAAATACTATAGGTTTCAGTTCGTGATAGTGAAAGTTACTGGCTCTCAGTGGCATCACCAAATTCCGAACCCCAATAAGTGCTGATGTTACATCTCCAAATATACAGACAACTACATGCCCACTCAGAACTGTCATGGCAGCTTCACTACGTGTCTGTAGAAATAGACAGAACACGAGAATCAGAAGAAATGAACTTATTACAGCATTTTCAGGTAAACATGCAGAGTATATATTGCAGAATGTTTTTTTTTATATTTACCCACCTGTATGGTTAATGGAATTTGTACCACACAGGGATGTAACCAGCACTGGGCACCCAGGTCAGTTGCCCTGTATCTCTGGCCAGGTGCCCTGGGTCCCAATACCACCCACTTTTGTGTTTTTTTTTATTTTTATTTAGCAGCTTCTTCAGCAGCCAGTTCCTGTCCTACCCACTCGCCTCCAGGAACTCATGTGACAGCAGTGCCTGCTAGTGTTAGGGCAGCAGGCAGTACTGGACCAGAAAGAGGTGAGGGCTCTGTGTTGCTGTCTTGTGTAGTCCTTGTGGTGTGTGAGCCAGTGCTGAATCAGGATGCCACTCAGCGAATGAGCACAGACACTGATTACCAATGTAAGAGGAGAACAGAAACTGACCACCAAGGTAAGAGGGTACAGATACTGCCTAACAATGTATGGGGGCTGCACAGACACGGACCACCATTGTAAGGGGGTGCAGACACTGACTATCAATGCATAGTGCGCACAGACACTGATCATCAATGTATGGGGGGCACAGACACTGATCATCAATGTATGGAGGGCACAGACACTGATCACCAATGTATAGAGGGGGCACAGACACTGACCACCAGTGTAAGAGGGCACAGACACTGATCACCAATGTAAGGGGGGCACAGACACTAACCGCCAATGTATAGGGGGGCCAGACACTGACCACCATAGTATGTGGGCTTTTTCCTCCCGCTTCCCTCCAATACCAGATATTTTTCCTCCCCTTCACCACCAACACTGGGTATTTTTCCCTCCCCTAAGCACTGATTCAAAACAATTTTCCTCCCCCTGACCATCAATGTCGGGCTTTTTTTTCTCTCCCTGATCATGTATGCTTGTCATTTTTTTCCTCCTGCCTCCTGTTAACCACAGACACAGCCATCTTTTCCTCCTACTAACCAGCAATATAAGAGGCAGTATGCCACATACTACTGACTGTGTTGTACTTAAAGTGGTTACCGCTGTATATTACATACTCCTGACCAAAGTGTTTATTGTATCAACAGCTGCTGGTTGCTAAGTTGTGTCCAACTATTTTAATGAAGTTCTACTTTCAGTTTGCTGTTTGTCCATATGATATTTTTTTTAAAGTATTCTGTAGGTTTGTGAGGGTCTGTGAAACTCTCACTTCCAGTATAGTAAGTACTCTGAAATGAAAGGAATGCAGAATTCACCCTACATTTCTTTATATACCAGAAGTCCTGTATGATCCTGCAACTCAAAGATCCTAATTCTTATATGAAATCTCCTAATCTTAGTCCACTGTCTCATATACTTTAGTTACTTCACCTGTTATCCATATTGGTACTCACCAACAAAACTTTCTCCATTTCTTTTGCTGGGCACCAATGGAACATACCAGTAGAGTCATACTTCTTCACACTGCTGGAGTCCATGTTATCTATCTGATCATTAGCAGCCATTAGCAATGGATCATGTCTGTGGGGGGGAAGAAAAAAACTTTAAGCATGGGAGATCATACAGCTGGTTTTGTTTTGGGTTTGTGTGTATCATTGACCAGCTAAAGATCATAAAAATGGATTTGGTAGCTTTTATTAACAGCAATTTTTGTAACTTTCATTGTTGCAATATATATCACCTTGGAACACGCTAGTATACTTTTACATTTTTCATTATGATATAAATGCTATAAATGTTCCGTTATGGTATAAATGTTTTACACACTTTGCCATTAACAGGAGGAGGGGGTTAGAGAAAATAAAGTGAAGATCTTCATATGTTTTATGTCCACGAAAACCCCTCCTGTCCAATCACTGGATATGATGGTAAAAAAATTGCATGCAAGTTGCCTCCACTCACAAATTACAGACATTTCTGTAGCTTCTACTGAGTACATTTTGCTCTCTAGAAGACTGGTACACAAGTCTCATAGAAACAACAGTGCTTTCTCTAGCAGCTAAAAGGTTAATTTTATTTAAAAGTGGCACTAAACTCAAGAGTTAAATCTTAAAAATGCATTCAAGTACCTTAACTATTAACAAAAAATTATCTTATTTGTGTATCACTCGGCTGTAGATTCTCAAATCATCTCTGAATTCATGCTGACACTGTCCTTCCTTCTGGACGGTGGCTACTTTTGTTCCACATGGTCCCTGTGTGTGTTGTAAAGTAGCCACCACTCCAATCGCTCCCATGATGGACTACAATCTCACGTTTTAGTTTATTAATTTGTATTGAAATTATAAAACACGCAGGAAAAAGGCATGAAAATGCAGATGCAAAAGTTTAAACCTAGGCTTAGGGTATCACTGTTTTACTATGTGTTCAACTACATTACCAGGGAACCAAAACAGAATTTTTTAACTAAAATGTTGCAAAGCACTGCAAGTGTCAAGATCATGCTCACACTACGTATGTCAAACATGCTTCTCTTCAATTAGTTTTGCTTTCTTGTCATCAAAAGCTAACCAGAATGAACTTGTTTATTAGATTTCTGTACAGTTTTATGAATATTTCTAATACAAATCATTAGGCTACAGACTGTCTTATTTTTCCTAAATGTACATTTTTAAACCTGATCATATACCTAGATTTACTACAAAACTGATTTAAAAATGTATTAATCGTTTGCTATGTGAAAAAAAACCCATATGGTTTGTAATACAAAAAAAGAAAAGAATGGATGGGAGCAAGGTATTGCACTTTTATCTACGCTGATGTATTCTCAATTCTTCAAAGAAATGCAAAAAATAATGCCACTTTATAGGCCTTATTGTCCCTCCACCACCACTTGATGATACATAGGAAATGAGCATTGAAGTGATCGTGGCTTTAATACAATGTTTCACATACAAAGCTATAGTTTTATAAATAAAGAGCAGGTTGCAGATTAACTGTCAGTTACAGTGTGTACACCTCACTCTGTTAATACTGGAATGTGTTTTTTTTTTCTTTCAATGATGGGAATTCTTAAATGCTTCCTTAAGGAGTTGCTGAGTGTTGCATGGCTCCTTTCTGTCCCTCAATATCAAAGAGCTGCTATTAGGATCTGCAATGAAGTAGAAGCAATGTGAATTTAGTCACTGGTGTTGTGTGTTTGGCATGAGGATAGAAAGTCAATTATTTGCTTTCACCGCGGACATTTTCTGATGTGCTGCTCTGCACAGTAAAAGCTTTAACAGGCCGAGCTTTTAATATTTTAGCAAATTGCCCAATCGGGTTTGGTTTTACGCAACTGACGGCCTTTAAAGATTCAACAGAGTGTCGCTTCAGAGTGGGATGTCTACTCCCCCCCCTTCTTCACCCGTCACATAGAATACAAGACTTTAATTCTAGACAACAGTGAGCGGCTTCTGATGACAATCACATTTGCACTGGAAAAAAAAAAACCAATAGCTTGCTCTTCATGGTTATGAAAGGGATAAGACATGGTGAATATATATTAACCCTTCACTGTCACAGTAACCAAGCAGACACTTAAAGTGAAGGTGCTTCTACATTAATAACAGAAATAATAAGAATATTTTGCACTTTTTAAAACAGTGCAAACAGTAAAAATGGGTACTAACTCAACTATAGTTTAACAGTCACCTTTACTACAGTCAGACTAGAAAATTGAATGGGACTAATTTACATAACTGACTCTGATCAGTATCTGCAACTCACATCTAAAATCTATAGTCACAAAGTCAATGCTTTAAATAAACATAAAACATCTACAGTGGAATACATCCCTGCCAAAGCCTTTTTGGAATACAGGCAACCTGCACTGTCTGGACCTTCAATACTGCAGGCTAGTACCTTTATTGGAATTGCACATATAGGTACACACACTGATAGTATGACCACTAAAAGATGCTTTGTGATTTCATGCATTACTGCATGCTGCATTTTATCCTTGAATAAAAGTTGCTGCAAGAAAATATCACAAAAATACAGTGGCACCTCGGTTCACAAACTTAATTTGTTCTGCGATTCTGGTCGCGAACCGAATCAAACTGTGATCTCGACTAAAGGAAGCCATGACCATGTGTCAGAGCAGGGAAAATGGCTGCGGTTGTGTTCATCACCCGAAGCGGAGTTCGTGAACGGAGGCAAAATTTTGCTGAACTTCAGAATTGTTCAGAAACAGAATTGTTCGCGAACAGAAGCGTTCGTGAACCAAGGTACCACTGTATATCATTGCTGGAGATAGATGAGATGAATTATTCTTCATACAATGCTGAAATGCTACTTCTCAGGGGAAAATATTTAGAAGAACCATACAAGCAAGCATAGATTGCTATGGTACCAACCAGATACCTAAAGGAGATAGATGATGGCACCAGCTTTCACGTTCCTAATGTAGGTGCTTACAAATGTTGTGAGTCAGAGTTATTACAAAATACAGGTTTGCCTAAGTAAGCTTTTTTTCTGTACTCTGAATGGATTTGACTGAAATTGCAATCAGAAATATAATTGGATCCCATTCTAAAAGTACAAAAGCAGACAATAGGCATAAGTCTTGTAAGGTACTGGGTGAATAAACTGGTGCACTTGGAAGAACAAAATGCACTGCATGCAACATTAGGCTCCAGGGTAATAACACACAACAGCTTTCAGGTAGCCTTGTAGTGTCCTTGGTTTAGTTTTTCACTTAGACTAAATCCAGGTTTCTGCAAATATGTGTCACAATCCCAAACATTCTGAGTGTTTAACTGGTTTGTGCATAAACCGATTCTGGAGTGTATAAATACTGTACACTGTTGGTATATTAGATTTAAAAAAAAAACTGGGTTGGAACTGATTTTAATATTAATTGTTGAACATACCGTTGGAAACTGAACACACACATAGTAGGGATAGGGGAGTATATTACTGCTTTACTGAATTAAAAGGTGAGACAAAGGACAGGATAGTATTCCCAAAAGCAAGCACCCCTTAGGTCATGCATGCTGAGGATATTAAGTGATTTGTTCTGCGATATGTAATATGTGAATAAACACAATGTGCAAGATTCCACTAAAAATCAATTTTAGGTTTTATCAGGGACACTCTCCTGAGCTGTATATATTGAATATTAGGCACAATCTTGCAGCTTAGGTTTGTTAATAGCTGGAAATGTTTCCTTGGGTGATTGTGAAGCTCATTTATCAGTTTTTACATACTGTACAGGGGCTTGTCACAATTTAACTATAATGGTGACATGATGCCATACAGAACATAAGGGACAAATCTTTCGCTCTAACTTCTTTATGTTTAAAATTTTAAATCATTACACAATTGGCCAGTCTGAAGAAATAAACCTGATAAAAGTACGTTTTTTTGCAAAACCAGCAGATGTTAATGACTGGATTAGCTGGTCTTCCAAAGATGAACACAGCTGGCATGAACTGCTTTGAACACGACCCCACAGTGTTAACTAAATTTAGATAAAACCTGAAACACTGCTTTAAACTCAGAGAGTAAAGCAAAGAGAGAGAAGTGCCAGAAGGCAACCCAAAAAAGCTTGCCTGAAGGACAGAGAGCCTGCAGCTAAACCACAAATCTCACTTGGAAGGAAGCTGCACATAGGGACCGGCAAAATAGAGAAGAGATCTGTGAAATATCAAAACACATCCTGCCTCTGACACTGCGGCCCTGTAGTTCATGTCTGGTATGAAGGAAACATTTTCAAATGCACAGAAAATAGTGTAGTTAGAATCACCTCTTGCAAAGCTGTGGAAGAACTATGATGGTGTGTTTAAGTAAAAGTAAAAAGCAAGGTAAGTACATACTGGAGACATCTAAAGTGTAACAGAATTGAAATTACTATGCCCAAATAGACAATAATAATTACTTTATTGTCTTATTTCCTACATTTTAAAAGCCAGAGTAAGGTTGACTTCAATAATATAGGATGTTAATTGAGAAATAAATATAAATAATATATTCTTAAACCTAATACCAACTTAGAATTCAAGGGTATGTAGTAATGTGCACAGCTTGTTGTTCATTACAAGTTTCTTTTTGGCCACAGGATGAAATAAAAACGCAACAGGGAGTTAGAGAAGAGTACTAACTTACCCCAGGCATGACAAGCTAAAGATCAACAGTGCAGGTCAACATTTTCCTATTCTGCATCTAAACGTTCTATTCGTTCCACCAAATCAAATTGCCCAGACCCACAAATCTTCTTACAGCCCCTCAGGGAGTTCTAAACTTCCTTGGCAAGCCAAGGCTATTTCAGCATATCACACGGTTTAAATTTTTTCTTACTTCATTTGGATTGTAAAAAGTGTCTCAGGATAGCTGCACAGTGTGCTGTGTTGCAGGAATCTGCAGTGCAGTCCAGTGAGCTATCAAAAATGCAGCATATCTGCATTTTGTGCACTTCACCTCACAAAACCCGCAATATGCTGTGATCTGGACACATAGAAAACCATAATTTTCTATGTGCCCTAGTGGTGACTGGCACTGAACAGTTGCCTGAAAAACACCAGTCACTGCTATTGTTGTGA